ATTGAGTGACCAATTTATTATTGTTTTTTTTCTTGAGGGATTATTATTAGGCGTGTGGGGTAAGGAAACTTGCCCAAGGTTTCGTCCTGCCGGGAATCAAACCCAGGTCTCTCACTTGCGTGGCGAGTGCTCTAAACCACTGAGCTACAGGACTCCTTAGAAGCAGAATTTGGGTTAAAAGAGAGAAAAAAACAGCACAAAGACAGAGTAATAACAACAGAGAGCGATAGCAACTGAGAGAGTGGCACAGTGAGAAAGAGTGGCATAGGGAGAGAGGGTTGGCATAAAGAGAGAGTGAACTCACTATTAAAGATGAACTCAACGCTGGTGATCAAACATGACATTGATGCTCTCCTGCCATCAAAGAGATGGTAGCACTCCAGTGCTTCTACTTGTAAAGACAGAACAACCTTGTTATAATACTATACAAGTCCGCTTATAATCCTGGTGTCTTGGGGATGCCTGGGAACAGTTGCCATCTTTCCCGAACATTGTGCAGCCAGATGGGAGAGGAGGAGAATTTTCTTTACACAGCTAATTGTTACGATCTGGAATGCGCTGCCTGAAAGCGTAGTGGAAGCAGATTCCATGCCAACTTTCAAATGGGAATTGGATATTTACTTGAAAAAAATATGCAAGGCTAAGGAAAAACACCGGGGAAGAGGGACTAGTTGGACAGCTCTTTCAAAGAACCAGCACGGGCACAATGGGCCGAATGGCCTCATGTGCTGTAGGATTCTATGATTCTATGAAAGCAGCAACCATTTCCCCATGTTGATGACAGCCTTTTTGTTTAACAGAAAGCAGCCTATCTAACCTTGTAGTTCATTGATTATCTGCTCCTCCGGCCTCAAGAGCTGATGAGTTTGATTACCCTGCCCTAGACCTTTTGGCACTGGATGTTCCATTGCCTCCACCAGAATAAAATGTTGCATTACTGGAGGAAAATGAATGAGACCTTCAAAATGTTCTTTTTCTTGATCGTCACCATCTAAACAATGGTCCCACAAATACAGCGATTTCACTCCATAGTAAATCCTGTGAAGTATTTTGAGATGTCCTCCTGATGTGAACGGCACTATGTCAAATGCACAAATTTTTTTTAACTAAATTTCCTGATAATTGCACAGCACTCAGCCTCTACTGCTGTTACTTTGGTATTACGTAGGAAATCAACCTCAGATGGATTGCCAATGCACTGCCAGGGTTTCTAAATATAAACGTGGCAGCTGAACTGCAGAGCAAAGCTCTCTCACCTCTCACTTACACACACACTCTCTCTCCTCTATCTCTCTTCCCTCCCCCGCCTTCACTCATCCCTCTCCTTCTCAATCCCTCTCTCTCCCACTCCCAGTCAGCCGCACGGTTCACTATCTGCAGTAGCAGGAGCCAGCGGTTGTTTAGGATGTGGTTGGCAAGAGAAAGATTGAAGTAACGGCCGGTATTATTTCCACTCTCCGTGCTACCGCCAGTTGGACCACGCTGTGTTAGATCATAGCTGATCTGTACCTCAACTCCAAGCTCAAATGTAATTTTTTCTGGCTTTCACCTTCCAGCCTGTAGAGCATGTCAACAAATGTCATCCAAGGTCACATGCTGGTTGACACCCTCATTCAACGCAAGGAGCAAAAAAGGAGTCACTCACAAGCTCGTTCGGGCCAAATGGAAACAATACCGTGCCGAATGGAGTTGTGAAATCAAACTAATAGTCCCACCAGTAAAAGAGGGCTCGTGTGGCCAAGAAGTTGCCAAATACATAACAAGAATCAAAATCGATGTATCAAACAAATTCAGCGTTTTGATTGAAGTGTCCAGGTGACTGTGACAATTTGAGATGAGCAGCCACCATTTCTGGCTCTGGAACTCCATCCCCCAGTGCCTTCGCTTTGTTTCCTCCCTTTCCTCCTTCAAGGCCGGTCTCGAGACCTTTCTCTTTGACCGAGCCTTCAGCTCCCCTCTCGACTCTCTACCCCCTCCTCGCTCTCTCCCCTCACCCTGACCATTTCGCCCCTGCTCGGGTCCTGACCCAACTGTCCAGTGCCTTGGGACGTCCTCCCGATGTGAAAGGCGCTCTATAAATGAAATCTTGTTGTTGTTGATGTTCTAATAAACTAGTGGAGGGCCAGTCATTACCATCATGGCTGTCTTACAAGTTGTGGAGTGTTGCACTAGCATTGCTGCTCCAGCATAGAAAATGTTGAACAGTCTCTTTAGTGCTGTGTATTCCTTTATAGCAATGGTGCAAGTTATATAAAGAAACCTTGGCAATGAAACAAGGTTCAGCCAGGGTTCAAAGCCTTTTTTGATCATGACCCATGTCGTTTACTCTTAAGTAAAGCTTCAACCTGCTCCAATCAGATCACAAATGCTCTTGATTTTGTCATTCATTCAGGTGCCTTGTTTAAGAATGCATGGGAACAGAAATGAAAAAGCCCTGCTCAGTTTGCAGTTCATTAGACAGGAAGAATAATTGCTGACTAGGAATGTCTCCAAAAGTCATCCCAACTTTGATAGAAGGCCAAAAGCATTCAGCGATTGAAGCTGTTGAAAGGTTGCTTACAGTGTACCACCTGTCACAGACCCTTTGCTCCAAGAAAAAGCAATCAAAATGAAACGCGAAGCTTCCCATAACCAAAATGATAGCGAAGTGAAGAACGCGGTTTATTGTGTTCTACAGTTTCTTAGTGAGAACATGCTTCCTGCTGCGGAAACAGTGAAAAGCCTGGAATCTGAGAAGATCTTACTTAATTCACCGGGTTTTCAGTTCACTTTAGTTGGAGTTGGTGCCAGAATTGGTGCCGGAACTCGATTTAAGAGTTAGACAGGAGAAAACTTTTAAAGAGTTTGAATCTCTACCTATGCTCAGTTAGTCTGCTTGCCATTTGAGAGTCAGCTTCTAGGAGGGGCATGGAGTGAAGAGCAAGTTGCTACAAGCCATGATGAATGATAAGCACTAATGTCACAAATTCTGCCACCTACAAAACCTTTTAAAGTATTCCTCTGGATTTCATGTATCCACAAAGGGTGATTTTTTTGTCACGGAATATGAAATGCTTTGAGGCAAAGAACAGCAACAACTTGCATTTATATTTGTATCGCAACCTTCATACGCCCTAGAGCATATTTAAAAGGTAATTAAATGTTTAAAGAGGAAGAATAAAAAGGTAGATTACAACAACAAAATTACATTTATAGAGCGCCTTTCACATTGGGAGGATGTCCCAAGGCGCTGGGAATTAGGAATTAGGATTAGAGTAGTTAACTCCAGTAAATGAGACATGAGACAGAAAGTTATGGGTTGAAGTTCACATTGGGACTTTGAACCTACATAATCTAGGCTGACACTCCAGTACAATGCTGATTGTTTGAGGTTCCATCTTTCAGATAAGATGTTAAACCACCCGCCTATTCAAACGGACGTTAAACATCCCACGGCACTATTCGAAAAGACAAAGAGTTTCTCCCAGTATCCTGGCCAACGATCCTTCAGATGAGATTGATCATTCACTTCATGGCTGTTTGTTGGACTTTACTGCACACAAAATTGACCGCTATGTTCGCCTACAAAATAGTTTGCTACACTTTGCAGTAAAATCCTGTGGAATCGTTTTGCGACGTCCTCAAAGGCATTGTACGAAATGTAAAGATTGTTGTTATTTATCAACACTGAATTTCTCAGGTTCTTTTGACCAGGAAGGGCATTAATCATAATTCTGTCTGCACCTAAAACAATCAGGTCAGCTCTAGAAACTGAAAACTTACCAATGGTGTTTAAATGTAAAATTATAGAAACTTTTGGAAATTTCTTAGTTTGGAAAGCAATTTTCTACAGTTGTTTTTGTGTGTTATTCTAAAGTGAAATCCAGTTTTCCCGTGTTCTTTGTAAGTTTAAGAACATGAGAACTATCAGGCTTCGGAACTGCTTCAATTGATCAATAGATCTCCTGCAACAGATGAACTGTACCCCCAGGTTACATGAGGAGACAAGGGAGAGATTTGTGAAACACTGATGGCCATTTAGAGTGAATTATAAAAACAAGTGAGATTCCAAAGAGAGACACACTTGGTTTCTGCAGTCAATAATAGTGCTAAAACCTGACATCTACATAACAAATCTCGAAAGGAATTTCTCCTGGTGACCCAGCCAACAGTCGGCCAGATAATGATAATAATCCTTGCATTTGATATAGCACCTTATCACGTCCTTGAAATGTCTCAAAGCGCTTCACAGAATATACTGTAAAGTGAATTGACTGTATATTCTGTGGGCAAAACGCCAGATAAAAATTGGTCATTCATTTCATGGTTGTAAGTAGATAGACTGTCATGTTCCTTCTGATGTGAAATGCACTATACCAAATGTAAGGATGATTATTATTATTAATTATTATTAACTGAATTATGACATTCCGATCAGTAATACATATAGCGTTATTGTTGCTATTGGCCCCCTCCTAGCCTTGTAGAGCCACGATTCTGCACTCGAGCCTCGAACAGGATTTTCCCTATTGTTGTTCCGTTATATTTGTGTATTATTGACAAAAACACACCATGCCAAATTCCAGTCTTCTGTTGAGGAATGCCTAAACCACTGTGGGGACGGGTAATGAGCGAGCAGTAAGCTGCTGGAGGACTTAGCCAGATTTGCACTTACTTTTAAAAACAACGCAAAAAGCAATTGAAGCTCAAATGAATCATTTTCTTTTTCTCTTTTCTCTTCTCTCCACCTCCAATACCATCATCCTCCCTGCGGGGATATTCCTACTCTTTACTTGGCACTTGTCTCAGCACCACTGGAGACTCGCCCTGTGGTTAATTGCACCTGTAATCCACACAATCACCTTTTCCATAATAATCCTTGCCATTATTTTCTTTTACATAACAAAAAAAAATGAGAACTGCTTAAAATAATGAGATTCAATGAACATGCTATGTCCTGTTTCGGAGATGAATTAATAATCATGTCTTCAGTAAAATGAGCTGTTTGCAGCAATACCCACCTTCTGCATTCAGGTGAATGGTCTCAAAGGGTCCCATAAAAGCGTAGCGCATTCCTAATCCTGCAGTCATTACAAGGTCCACGTCCTCGGGCGATATTATACCCTCCTAACAAAGAGCAAACAGAATCACTAAATACAGAGTATAAATGTAGAACATAGAATCTTAATTCTTTGCTAAGATCAACTGTATTGTAATTTAAAATTATAACAGACAGTACTCAATACCCAGTGCATTTGCAAAACTTTTAGATAGTTGTTCTCCCTAACTTCCGCTACTTAAATAATGGTAGCTGGGCTGGAATCTATTAAGGTATTATATGGCTCATCGGCAGGACTTAGAAGGGCAGCCCAGTCACTGGAGGAAGGGAGTCATCCCATTCAGCAAATATTAACCCTGCAAGCCAAAGCCCTAACGGGTAGCTGGACAAGTAGTAGGAAAGTTTGCCGGATAGTGATATCAATGGCGAACTATGTGGTTTTAAGAGTACTCCAACGAACACTCTGGGATCCCCAAGCCGTGGCTCTTGCCAACCTGCGCCTAATACTTTCCGGAATTGTACTTTCCAGAATAGGTAAGCAGGAAGCATCCCTCCAGGGAGAGAGTGCACATTCCATTCTAACAATCCATCTTTGGAATTTCCACGTGTAGATGGGATTCGTGGAAATCTCACCTTGGTTTGGATACTCTTAAGCATGGTGATGGGTTTCCGTATGTGTCAAACACATGGCTGTCCCCGCCCCACCTAAAAAAATTGCGAAAGGCGACAGCTAATTGTACACAGCAGTATCCCATAAACAGTCAGATTTCCAATGCAGTGCTTGGGGTGTGCTGCATTGTTGTAAGTGCCATCCTTCAGGTGAGACATTAAACCGTGCCTCTTCAACTGTGCCTTTAGCTCCTCTCTCGACTCTCTACCCCCTTCCTCGCTCCCTCCCTTCCCTCCCCTCACCCTGACCATTTCCTCCCTGCTCGGGTCCCGACCCAACTGTCCAGCGCCTTGGGATGTCCTCCCGACATGAAAGGTGTTCTATAAGTGCAATCTTGTTGTTGTTGTTGTAAACCGAGGGCCTGTTCAGGTAGATGTTAAATGAAAAACAAAGGGAGGTGTCTGCTGGTGATATTCTGGCCAATATTGATCCCGATAACATTGGTCATTCACTTCATGGCTGTCTGTGCTGTGTGCAAATTGGCTTTTGAATTTGCAGTCATTACATCTTACAGTATATCCTGTGAAACAATTTGAGTCATACGTCCACTGTAAAAGGTGCTATGTCAAATGCAAAGATTTTTTGTCTTGTCATGACATGATGTATTAAGCAAATGCGTAGAATATAGAAAAGGATTTGTCAGCACTTGTATGAAGTGCGTGGTTACAGGAAGCAACAGGAATAGGTGGGGTGTAGCACAAGAACCAACAAAAGATTTCAGCTTGGGGAAACTTCTATGTTTTTTTCCCATTAAACTTGGCCTGTGAGAGGACAAGCAGAAACAGGTATCTGCTATACACCTGCGTTTGTTGGCTATTAAAGTATCAACAAACTAGTGACTATCCTTCGAGGAGGAGTGGGGGCTTAAGCAGGGCCTCTTTGGACATGCTTGGCAACAGAATGTCAGAATCAAGTCAACCCTCTGTCTTGCTAGTCTGGTTCTTGAACCAGGTGGGTCTGCAGTATTCCAGGGCACTGCTGAGGGCAGACCAGCCACCCTGCCTGATTGGCAGGGCTTGGAGGAGCAGACCAGCCACTCGGTGCAGAGATTCTTCTGTTACCTCTGGAAGCCAAAGCCTAAAAGGCAGGGTGGTCCTTGCTGGACAAGCAGCTGGAAAATTGGCAGGCAGTGCCTTCAAGTTAAGCGGTTTTAGCTGGTTATGCGCCATTGTGCTCTGCCACTGTCAAGTGCTCTGGGACGCTACCCTGTGTGAGAGGCGCTAGATATATTATCCGTAAAAAATAAAACTCAAAACCACGACTGTTTGTGGGACACCGCTGTGTGCAATTGGCTGCCACCTTTTGCCCACAAAATATAGTCAATTCACTTTACGGTATATTCTGTGAAGAGCTTTGAGACATCTCAACGACGTGATAATGTGCTGTAACAAATGCAAGGATTATTATTATTTTATAAATGCAACTTGTTGCTGTTCAACTCCAGCAGTATCCCACTGCACACTTTAGGTTTCCCAGACCTTGGCTTTTGCTAACCTGTATCCCTAGAATTAGGTAAACAGAATGAATCCACCAGGAACCTCCTGTATTCCATTCTAGCCACAAGAGTTTCCATGTGTAGCTGCCTTCCATTGAACGCTCAGACCAGTTTGGATAACCTTAAGTATGGGTTTCTGCATGAGTCAGACACCCAGTTGACTAAAAACAAATCTCCCTGTCCGTTAGGTAGATGTTAAAGATCCCATGACATGATATGAATGGAGAAAGAAATTTCTTCCGGCAGAATCTCCCTTCTCTTTTTAAGTAGTGCTATGGAATCCTTAACATACATCTGAATGGACAGATAGGACTTCTTGCTTTAACATCTCATCCGAAGGGTGGCTCTTCTGGCAATGTAACACTCCTCCAGTCTTGTAGCTTAGTGGTTAGAGAACTCTCCTCGCAAAAGAGAGACCTGGGTTTGATTCCTGGGCAGGGCAAAACATTGGGCAAGTTTCCTTACTACATACACCTCTGTTTACCCAGTAAGTAAGAATTCAGTTGTTAGTCGATTTGGGATTGCATTTCCAAGGGTAATAATTCCTTTTAAAAAATAATAATTTGGTCACGACTGTGGGACACTGCTGTGCGCAATTTGTTGCCACATTTTGCCCACAAAAATATAGTCAATTCACTTTACAGTATATTCTGTGAAGTGCTTTGAGACGTCTCGAATACGTGATCAGGTGCTATATCAAACGCAAGGATTATTATTAGTGCACTGGAGGTCAGCCTAGACAGTTCAAAGTACTGATGTCAAATAAAGCGCCTTATCGGGTCGTCTAAACTCTCCCACCTCTTCACTCCCCACCTCCTCACCTCTCCCACCTGCTCACTCCCTCCCTCTCCCACATCCTCACTCCCCACCTCTCCCACCTCCTCACTCCCCACCTCTACCACTCCTCACACCCCACCTCTCTCATCGAGTGTAGTGACTGTGCATAGTGTTTAAGAGGTCTATAAAAATGCAAGGTCTTTCCTTTTCCTTTTTGTGTCAGTAGGCCATTATTGGGATAGAGTTGAGCACATAGGACTGGCAGAGAAAACAAAGACATTGGAAAGAGGTTAGAAATTCAAAACGACTAACTACATACAAAGTGACAGCTAAGGGGTCAGTAATACATTGTGAAATACTGGTAACGGTGTTAATGGTTTCTGTCTGACACATGTCACAGACAAGCAAATTTAGACAAAGAGTGAGTCAGCAGAAACAAAGAATGTAGATTAAGCACAACATTGTTTACAAAATACATTCTTTGGGGGAACTGAGTGCATCAATGTAGAAGACGGTTAAAAGGTTGTCGTTGCTAAAAGCCACCATTTTCTTCCACACACCCCCACTTAAGAAAGATCCTTGCAGCTCAACAACATTGATGGGTGGTGGTGCCTTTATGTCTGCAGGGTTTTATTCTAACCCAATTTCAGGTACATATCAGACACTCAGACTCAGGAGGTGAAGGCACTCAGGTGCCTTCACTTCCCCTCTCGACTCTCTACCCCCTCCTCGCTACCTCCCTTCCCTCCCCTCACCCTGACCATTTCCCCCCTGCTCGGGTCCCGACCCAACTGTCCAGCGCCTTGGGACGTCCTCCCGACGTGAAAGGCGCTCTATAAATGCAATCTTGTTGTTGTTGTTTGATTCAGACTACTAATAATAACAATGATAATAATCCTTATGTTTGGCATTAGCGCTTTTAGAAGAACTAGAATGCAAAGGAAGAACAGTAACATTCTGATATTCCATTGCCAGATATGACACCTTGGAGCCAGTTCAGATCCAAGGAGTCCTTGGGGGAAAGGGAAGAATCTTCAATACAAATCAATAAAAAAGTCCTGACATTGGCCTTGAGCCTACAATTTTCTGACTCAGAAGGGCGAGTGTTCCCAATTCAGTCTGTCTGACACAGATGAGACATCAAACCAAGGTTCTATCTGCCTGTCAGCACAGGTGGGCATTAAATATCCCATGACATTGACATTAAAAGAAAGGATTTTCTCATAGTATTCCACATCATTCTAACTCAATTGATTAAATCATTACTTGCTAAGTGGCACTTTGCTGAGTGCAAAACAGACATCTCGTTTGCCTATAAAAAGTCAATACATTTGCCACTAATTACTGTAAAGCCCTTTGAGTCGTTCCAATATAAGGTGCAATAAAAAAAAATCTAACTTCTTTCTATCAGAAATACACTTTCAGGTTGAAAACTTGACAGAACATACCTTTCAACCATCATAACAGTTGGTCATGTAGAGATTTTAAGTCTCCCCTGTTTGTGTTAGTCTATAAAATACACAGTCAATACACTCTACATTAAATTCTGTGAAGTGCTTTGAGACTGCTTCCAACATAAAAGGTGTTACATTAAATGCAAGAATTTTTGGGGGATCAGTCGGGTGTTTGACACATGAGGAAACCCATCGCCATGCTCCAGCAGTGCTCTGGAGTACTACAGACCCGCCTGGCTTAGGAATCGGACTAGAGATCGACAAGAGGGCTGGCTCAATTCTGATATTCCATTGCCAGACATGACACCTTGGAGCCAGTTCAGATCCAAGGAGTCCCCGCTTATTCCACCCACGGCCCCCCCAGGAGAATAGCCGACAAAGGTTTTTTGTGTAGCTTTCACATTTAAAAGTTGAGTGTTGCTATGAATTTAGAGTGAGTCACTCTGTGTCAGAAATTAATTTCACTGTTGGCCAGGACACCTGGAGAAACTCCCTTTTCTTTTGAACAGTGCCATGGGATCTTTAACATCCACCTGAATAGGCAGATGGGACTTGACTTCAACATCTCAACTAAGGACGGCACAGACAGTACAGTGCTCCCCTAGCACTACATTGGAGTATGAGCCTACACTACGAGCTCAAAGATTTAATGTGGCACCTGGGTTCAAGTCA